CCTGCCTCTGCCTCCCAAGTGCTGGGACTAAAGGCATGCGCCACCATGCCTGGCTAATTTTTTTTTTTTTTTTAAGTGAACTGGGCTCTTGAGATAGCTCAGCAGGTGCTTGCCACCAAATATGATGACCTGAGTTAAATCCCTGGTACCCACATGGTAGAAGGAGAGAGCCAACTCTTGCAAATAGTCCTCTGACCTCCACATGACACTCTGGCATACACATACACGCATACACAAATAAATGAATGTAAATTTTGGGGGGGGGGTTGTTTTTTATTTTTTTCTTTGGTCTTTTTGAGACAGGACCTCCCTGTAGCCCCAGCTGTCCTGGAACTCGCTATGTAGACCAGGCTGGCCTTGAACTCACAGGGATCCACCTGCCTCTGCCTCCCGAGTGCTGGGATTAAAGGCATGTGCCACCACACCTGGCAATGAATGTAAGTTTTTAAAGTGAGCAAATCAACTCTAGGTCAATATCTGAAGGGATGGGGTCAAGATATGAATTCAGAATGTTCTACCATACATAGTCTGATCTTAGGTATTTGATAGCCTGCTTCTAAGATAAACAAACATGTCTCCTTATCCTATCTACATTTGTAGAATCCAGAACCCAGAAAAGACTAGAAGAGGATGTCTGATCCCTTGGAACTGGAGTTATGGATGGCTGTTAGCTGCCGTATGGGTGCTAAGAACCGAGGTCCTCTGTAAGAGCAGCAAATGCTCTTAACTGGTGCACTATCTCTCCAGATCCCTGTGTAAGTTTTTTAAAATTATTGTTTCTATATGCCTCCTGTATCCCAAACTTGATTAAAATGCATAATGGCATAAACCATTTTTAAAACTGATTTGTGAGATAGGGTCTCCCTATGAAGCCCAGGATTCCCTCAAACTCTCAGTCCTCCTCCCTCAGCCTCCTGAATTCTGGAATTACAGGCAGGTACCATCACTCTCGGCTTTAAAAGCATTTTTAAAGGAAACATATCCAAAAATTGACTTTGTATGTTAAAAGTGAAACTAACTCCATCCAGTTCCAGGGGAATCCAAAGCCCTCTTCTGACCTCTGCTGCATTGCACAACACGGGTGAACTAACCTACATGCAGGCAATACACTCATACACATAAAAATAATAAAAAAAATTTTTTTTAAGTGAAACTCACCAGGCGTGGTGGTGCACACCTTTAATCCCAGCACTCAGGAGGCAGAGGCAGGCGGATCTCTGTGAGTTCAAGGCCAGCCTGGTCTACATAGTGAGTTCCAGGACAGCTGGGGCGACAGGGAGACCCTGTCTCAAAAAGACCAAAAATAAAAAAATGAAACTCAAATCCTGTTTTAAAAAAGGAAGAAAGAAGGGAAGGAAGGAAGGAAGGAAGGAAGGAAGGAAGGAAGGAAGGAAGGAAGGAAGGAAGGGTGGGTCCTGCGTATAATCCCAGCACTTAGGAGGCTAAAGCAGGAAGACTACCGTGAATTAGAAGCCAGCCACTTCATAGTGAGTTCCCAACCAGTCTGGGCTACAGAGTAAGATTTTGTCTCAAACAAACTGAAGGGGGAAAATGAAAGGTTATTTAAAATATTTTATTTATTATTTTTATTTTATATGTATGAATGTATTGCCTGCATGTATATAAGTGCACCCATGTTGTGCATTGCCCATGGAGGTTAGAAGAGGGCATCAGAGCCCATGGAATTGGAGTTCCAGACAGTTACTAGCTCTTACTCTGCAAGAGCAGCCAGTGCTCTTAACTACTGAGCTGTATCTCTCCAGCCCCTAAAAGGTTTTTTTGTTTTGTTTTTTTTTTTAAGAAAGAGAAAAAAGATCCCAGCACTCGGGAGGCAGAGGCAGGCAGATCTCTGTCAGTTCAAGGCCAGCCAGGTCTACATAGTTGAGTTCCAGGACAGCTGGGGCTACAAGGAGACCCTGTCTCAAAAAGACCAAAAAAAAAAAAGAGAGAGAGAAAGAAAAGGAAAGAATGAAAGGGAAGAAAAGAGTGTGGTGGCACACACACCTATAAATCCCAGCACTTGGGAGGTAGAGGCAGAGGGATTTACACAGTTCAAGGCCAGCTTGATCCACATAGCAAGTGTCAGGTCAACCAGGGCTATATAGCAAGACCCTGTCTCAAGAAACTAAACAGCGCAGGAGAGATGGCTCAGCAACTAAGCACTAGCAATGCTTCCAGAGGATCCACATTTAGTTCCCAGTGCCCATATGGCAGCTAACAGTCATCCATAACTCCAGTTCTGGGGGATCTGACGCCCTCTTCTGGCCTCTGTGAGCATTGCATGCATGCGCTGCACTTACATACATGCAGGCAAAACATGCAAATAAAATAAAAAAGAAACAAAAAGATGCAATTTGTTTTATACTTTATGTTTAGGTATTTCTCAAACCTTATCGTATAAAATTTATATCAACCCAAGGAAGATAACTTGCCTTATCTTTATTATCATATCTTGTAAATGATTTGTGGAGGTTTTTTTATACATTTATACAACCATAAGATTTGGACAATGGTTACAGAACTTTTAATGGGTCAACTTTGAGCCTAGTCTTATTGCCATTTAATGGCAAAGTCAACCTTGATTTCATTCTCCCGAATGGCATTAATCCAGTGCCTTTAGGTTGTCAGTAGTTTTGTGTAATTGTATATTGATTTACTCCTGGGGCAGCTGTATCTTGGATCACTGTTGAGTTTTATCACTGTAGACTGCCTGTCACACAAATTTCCAAGGAACAAAACATAAGCCAAGCTCCAGACAGTGGTACCACATTTATTATAGCAAAGTGTGTTGTTCTGACTCTCTAACTGTAGATGATCAAGCAAGGATGAAACCACAGGATTTCTTTCTATTCCCAGAACCCTGAAGTTAGTGACTAGCAAGCAGTTATGAAAGTGCCAGCAAATAATAGCAAGCCATATTAACTATAGGATAAGCATACATTTTTTTTTTACCTTTCATAGGTCAAGAAGTTAGAAATACTGTTTAAATACTGTTTTCTCAGTCATCTCTATGATGTATCTCTCAAATTTTACTGGCATGTTTCTTTTTTACAGTTGCAAAAGAGCTGCTTCAGCTCCTGCACTGGAAGAAAAGAAGACAAGAAAAAGGAGAAGGAAAACCCAGAACCAGAAATAGCTGCCCTTTTTTACCAGGAAAGCACAAGTTTTCCCAGAAGCATCTATTAGAAGGCCTCTCTTCACTGCAGAGGTAGCTGAGATGCCATTTAGAATGACAAGAGGCCAGGAATCAAGAATGGGTACTAAACTGGCCTCATCACCAGGCCTCTTTTTTGTTCTGGCCCTGTTCTGCCTTCTTAGAACTCTGGACTATTCCCTAGCCCCACGGACCTTATTCAAGATAGAATCCTGGTCCATTGATTACTCTGGACTTAAAAAGCCAAAAGCAGTGAGTTGTGTTTCACCTCTGGACCAAGGCTCTCACTTCCCAGGCAGGCTCCCTCTACCTCCTTCAAGGAGAGTGCAGGCCAAGGAGGCTGGACTTCCCCCACCTCACCTTTTGTCTGTGGAAATACCACCTGTCCACTCAAGGACATAATCCAGGGTTGCATTGCCCTGAGTTGCTCACTGTGACTCCAGCAGTTCTAGCCACACTAGAAGTCACTTCAGACACACTCTGGGCTTCCCATCCCAGTACATTTGCTCATCTAGTTCCTTCTACGTGCAGCAACCTTCTAGGGCTCAGTTCAGGCACAGCCCTTTCTTATAAAATCTTCTGAACCACCTCCAACCAGAAATGACTTCTCCCTCCTCTGTATCCCCATGAAAGTATAAGGACCTGTGTTCCAATCCCCAGAACCGATGTAAAAAGCCGAGCGTGGTGGCTCACACTGCAATCCCAGCTATGGTGAATGGGAGGTCAGTGGATCCCTAGAACTTGTTGGCCACTTAGCTTAGCCTACTTGGTGAAAGCACAGGACAATAAGAGACCCTGTCCCAAACAAAAGATGGAAGACATCTGAGCAACAACACCCTAGGCTGTCCTCTGACCTCCATAGCCACATGCACATACCTGTTCACATACACATTAATGCACACATATACACATACACAATAAAAAAGTAAAAATAAAGGATTTATTCTTCTAGAAACACTCTTGTAACAAACTCTGTCAGTCAGGTTTCTCCAGGGAAACAAAACTAAAAGAGTGTGTACATGATCAGAGTCTCTAATCTGTCTGTTGATTTAATTTAAGGAGTTAACTCTTTTTTAAAAGATTTTTATTGGGCTGCAGAAATGGCTCAGTGGTTAAGAACACTGGTTGTTCTTGCAGAAGACCCAGGTTCAAATCCCAGCACCCACATGGCAGCTAACAACTGTCCATAACTCTAGTTTCAGGGGATCCAACAGCCTCTTCTGTCCTTCACGGTCATTGCACAACATGGGTACACTTACCTACACACAGGCAATACAAGCATACACATAAAATAAAAATAACAAAAAATATTTTAAATCACGGTCATTGCACAACATGGGTACACTTACCTACACACAGGCAATACAAGCATACACATAAAATAAAAATAACAAAAAATATTTTAAAAAGAAGATTTTTATTTTACTTTCATTTTTGTGTATGTATGTCTGTGTCTGTATGGGTCTGTATAAGTGTATGTCACGTGTTCAGGTGCCTATGAAGGCCAGAAGAGTGTGTTGGATCCCCTGGAGCTCAAGTTACAGGCAGTTGTGAGCTGCCCAATGTTGGTACTGGGAACCAAACTCATGTCCTCTGGAAGAGCAGCATGAGCAGCAAGTGCTTTATTGCTGAGCCATCTTTCCAGCCCCAGGAATTAACTCTGATCATTTAGAAACAACAAATCCAAAAGCCTCAGAGCAGTGTGGCACAAAATGAAACCCAATGCCATGTGCATGCTAAGAAAACAATCTATAATTGATCTATCTAGCTACACCCCTCAACTCAATGTTGACAATGTCATGCAGTTTAACCTAATCATTATTTACAGCAATAATTTTTGTGGTTTGTTGCTTATGTAGAAAAAAAAGATAATGTGAAACAAACGTTTTGAAGAGAAGAAAGTCATTGATGTGGTCACATTGTATTTTCTCCTGAATAAAGTACAAGGATGTAGAATCAGAAGACAGCAGGTGTCTCTATGGAAGCAGTGTCCCTGGGCCTTTTCAAGGAAGGCAGTGACCTGAAATCAAAGGTTGAACATCTGGGGTGAGGGGGGTGTGATCCCCACAAGGAAAGCAGTGTCAGCTGTCTGAACTAAGGGACCAGAGCAACAAAGAGGAACCAAAGCATGAGATCAGGAGCGCAAGGGAAAGCCAAGAAGTAGGAAAGGCCTTGGGCTTAGTGGACAGAACAGTGTCTAAAATATGAGGGTGGGGCAGCCCTAGGTATAAGACCAGAGTCCAGGAAGACACACTATTGCTTGAGCCAAAGGGCAAGGGTGGAGCTGAGACAACCTAAGGGTTTCAGAGGACAACCTAAGGGTACATGGTCCACTCAGGGTGGATTTCAGGATGGTTCACATTTTTTTTTTTCAGATGCCTCTTGCTGGACCTCCTTCAGATTAATCCTCCCAAAGGTAAACTGAACCATAATCCACCCTAATCCCAAAGAGACACCAAAACCCAGGAAGTCATCTCTTCTTTACCATTCATGTGCTTCAAATTGGCATAAATTCCAATTTGATCCATAAAATCCAATTCCATGATTTTGTGAAACAGCAAGACAATTCTCAAATTATATAACACCCTGTTGTTCAGTACAGAGTGGTTAGTAGAGTTTGTTCTCTTAAGAGAGCTTCAGAGTACAAGATGTGGTTTTACACTGTAATTGAAACCAGCTAAACACCCATAGAATTATATGATGTATATATGCTTGAAAAATGAAACTCCCACCATAGAGTCTTTTGAAACATTCCTCCATCTAGAGCTCTGTCCCTGAAATAGGAAAGAAAAATAGACAAAATCTCTGCCTTCTGAGAGCCCATGTTTATAATATCAGACCCTCAGGATTAGTATCATTGTTCTAGTTAAACTTTAAATTTGAATTAGAAGTACTTGCAACAAAACAAAAATAAAATGATAATTTAAGGTTATATAATTACAGTTGATCAAAGGAAGCATTTTGTTTGATGGCAAAAGAGCCATTTTCGTTGATACTGAACTCTAGAAGTCTTTCGTTACATGACAAAACAATATAACGGGCAATGTTTTTAACAGTCTTGAGAGATGAAGAAATAGGACTTCTGATAAAAAGTTCAGAATGTAAAGAAATACTTTTGGGTTGTAAGTTAATGAAAATTTCATGGTAGAAAAGAGCAATTGTAAAAGAAAAATTCTGCTTTAAAAAATGGGATCAGGGACTGGGGAGATGGTTCCATGCATAAGAGTGCTTCCTATACAAGCATGAAGACCTGAGTTGGAATCCCCAGTGCCCATGCAAAAAGCCAGGCATAGCTGTGTATGTCTGTAACCACAGTATTGAGGAGTAGGGACAGCCAGATCTCAAGAACACTAGCCAGCCTGGGCAAAACAGGTGAACCTTTGGTTCTGTAAGAAACCCTGCCTTAAAGGAATGAGGCTGAGAGCAATAGAGGAGAACTGCAGACATCTTCCTCTGGCCTCTGCATGCCCTGGATACCTACATGCATGCTGCACACATACCACATGCACACATAAAGCAAAATAAACATTTAAGACCAAAATATTTAAATCTTTCCTTCCAGACACCAACAGTCAATCATAACATAGAAGAAAGAGAAAACAAAATCTAAAGTAGTCTAAGTAAATCAAGTGAAAGAATAATATTTAGGTATTCACCAGGACAGACTATCATCGTGGGCAAAACTGTACAAAGAGGCCCTTAAACCTTCTGGTCAGGGATATAGCTCAGTGGTACAGAGGAGAGGACAGAGATTTCTGAGCCAGGCATAGCGACACACACCTGAACTTTGCACTCAGGAAGGTGAGGCAGGAAGATCTGAAATTTGAGGCTAGCCTGAGCTACATAGTAAGACTGTCTCAAAAACTAAAATAAGGAACTGAGAAGATGGCTCAGCAGTTAAGAATACTTGCCCCCTTGCAGAGGACCCGGGTTTGGTTTCCAGCACTCACACAGTGGCTCACAATGGTCTGTAACTTCAGTTCCAGGGGATCCAATGCCCTCCTCTGGCCTCTGCTGGCACCAGGTGCACATGTGTTGCACATGCATGCAGGCAAAGCAAATACAAAATAAATCTTAAAAAATAAAATAAAAACAACCCCCTTCTGACTGTGTTACAAATTGATGTAGATTGGACAGAGAATAACCTGGAATACACATAAAAGCCTCAAGCTTTGATCAAGCTGTTTAACCTGATGACTCTACTTTGGAAAAGCTCAAGGGGAGAAAGTGTCTTAGGGCAGAATGGAAAGAGCTCAAAGCAAATGTAGCATGAGGATTGACAGCAAGAATACTAGAATATGAGTGTCGAGATAGATATGACTATGAAATTTAGTCTTTGTGAAACTTGGAAACTACCCAACCTCTAAGTTTCAGTTTCCTCATCTATAAAATGGGTTGTTGTGGTGTTAGATGAGATAATGAATAGAGCATGCCTAGATAATGAATTTAGGGTGTCTAGGATGTAGAGAGTTCTTAATAAGCTTAAAGATGATGATCTGGAGAATTTGAAACCACTGAAAGTTCCAAAGATATGAAGGTAAAGGAACGTGGTATTTAAACACAATGATTTGCTAGATAGACATTAAAATTACATGCAGAGCCTGGTGTGGTGGTGCACACCTTTAATCCCAGCACTTGGGAGGCAGAGGCAGGTGGATTTCTGTGAGTTCAAGTCCAGCCTGGTCTACATAGCAAGTTCCAGGCCAGCTGGGTCTACAGGGAGACCCTGTCTCAAAAAGACCAAAAAAAAAAAAAAAAATTACATGTCTACAAACTATGCAAAATGCTATTAAGTACTCATAATTTGTATAGGCCAGTATGTAACATGTGCAAGTTTTACATGTTGAGTACAAAGACTTAATAAGACAAGTAGACATTAAAAATAATGTAACCAAAAAAAAACCAATAGAATTTTTAGAGTTGGAAACAATATATTATTCTGCTGTCTTGCTGAGTAATGTTTCTAGAGTTCGTAATAAATTCTTTTTCGAATAAACTTAATAGTTGGGCCTGTTGCACAGTCCTGTAATCCCAGATACTCAGGAGGCTGAGGCAGGAGGATCAAAAGTTCAAGGCCTGCCTAGACAACTTAGTTGGTCCCTGTCTCAACAGAAAAAGTAAGAAGAAGGCTGAGGGTATAGTTAAGTGCTAGAGGTCTTAAGTTCAGTCCTTCATACAATACCCTAGTTCTCAGTACTAGAAGACTTATTTCTTTTTTTAATATTTTATTCATTATTTTTATTTTATGTGTATGTGTGTATTGCCTGCATGTAGGTAAGCGCACCCATGTCATGCAGTGCCCACGGAGGACAGAAGAGGCTGTTGGATCCTCTGAAACTGGAGTTAAGGACAGTTGTTAGCTGCCATGTGGGTTCTGGGATTCGAACCCGGGAGATTAATTTCTTAACTTTTTGTTATAAAGTAAGACAGAAAAGTATGCAAAACAAAATTGTATAGCTCAATGATTTACAACAGAAATGAAAGTTGAAAGTTACTCCCAGGTCAAGAAGAATGTTCAGGGGCTGGATAGATGGCTCAGCACCTAATACTACTGACTATTTTTGCAGAAGACCTGAGGGTTCAGTTCCCAGCACCCACATGGCAACTAGCAACTGTCTGTAACTCTAGTTCCAGGAGTTCTGATGCTCTCTTCTGGCCTTCTCAAGCATTGTGCACATGGGTGCACCTACATACATGCAGGCAAAACACTCATACACATAAAATAGAAATAAATGAATTGAAAAAATGTTTTAAAGATATCAATGTAGGCTGGAGAGATGATTCAGCAGTTAAGAACACTGGCTGGTTTTGCAGAGGGCCTGGGTTCAATTCCCAGCACCCACATGGTGGCTAACAACCATCCATAACTCCAGTTCCAGGGGATCCAGCACCCTCTTCTGACCTCTGTGGGCATTGCATGAGATGGGTGCACTTACATACATGCAGGCAACACATTCATACACATAAAAAAATAATAATAATAAAACATTTTTTAAAAAAAAAGAAATGTTCAGCACCTAGTAGCTATCCTTTGACTATTGAAACAATACACTTTTACTTTAAAAGCAATCCATATAGAATTAATATGTGTTTCTTCATGTGGCTTCTTTTGTTCAGCACACGAAAAAATTGAACCATATTGTTTCACTTAACTGTTCTTTCTTCATCTTTGTTGTATAGTTGCC